AACCTACCCAAATATTTATCCCCACCCCAAAAAAAAAAAAAAAAAAAAAAGATAAAAGACTCAACAAGCCCATGCACTGTAAGGTCTCTCCCAAGAGATCCAGGGATCCCTGGGGGAACCCAGCTCTTCCCCAGTGTGGCAGAAGGTGACACTAAAGCACAGAAGCGTCCCAGTTTGCTTTGCTGCTGGAGGCAGGATGCCTGTCTGCTCACCTACCTCGGCCAGGTGAGCATGAGCTCAGGTGAGAGCTGACAGCCACACTCTGGGATAGTCATGGAAAAACATCCCGAGATCCCCAGAAGAAGAACTGCTGATGAGCACAGCTCTGAACCCCATCTGCTTACACTACACCTGATTTTATCACCCTGTGCAGCTCCAGCACCACCACAGCAGTGCTGGGGATGCCTTGAGAAGGCTGACCTAGAGCAGAGGCTGGAAACCTGAGGCATCACTGGGACAAGAGCTGGAGCCTCCAACTCCAGCAGAGCCACGGCACGGAGCCAAGGGAGGAGGTGAATCATCAGCACAGTAATAACCACTCAGACTCCCTCTCTGGGAGACATAAATCAGCTTGTCAAGACAGTTCAGGTTCAGGCTCCTCCTATTCTGCCTGGCAGGACAGATTGATAGAGCAAGATATTAAAAATCCAAACTGCAGAACACAGCACAGCTCCACAATCTGGATGTGTTCAGCAGGTACTGTCAAATATAAATTTACACAATCTGCTGTAACTCTGTTCAAACAACTCCTAATCAAGGAAGAAGCCACCAATCTTTTGAAAGAAAAATAACATTTTTAAGGTCTTTCCATACAGACATTTGCAGCTTGTTCCTATCTTTGCTGTGAGTATGTGGCCCTGCTCTGATGATCTACGTGTGCACTGACACATGCAACAGCAGCTTTGTCAGCCCTGGACTCATGGATCTGGGCCAAAAAGGATGAGATGGCAAAATGGGAGAGCACATGTGGACAACAGAGCTGACTGAAGAAAGAAATCCCTGGTGACTCTGCAGGGAGCTTTCCTTGAATGTTTGTCTGCTCCTCTTCCCGAGGGGAACACTAGGATGTACAGCAGAATTAAATTAAATACTATCCTAGGGAAAAAAAAAAATCCAATAAATCAGGTACTTCTGCAGGAAGCAATGCAAAGATCCCTGTTTTGTACAATGGTTCTACAAGAGAAAATATCCTGGCCATTATCATGATGCCTTCCTGACAGAGCAGGGTACTGGGAGTGTGGAAAGCCTGGAGGAACCACGAGGTGTGTGGCCACTTCCAGGCCAGCAGAAGACATTGTGCTGCGATCTGCCTGCTCTGTCTGGGACATCTGGGGTCTGCAGGGTCCTAAGCAAAGAGCCATAAACCTTGTATTTTTCTAGAATTTCCAAAATGGCAGATGCCAAGGCCAAGCAGCACTGCTGACTGTGCATACTGGACCCCTGTTTGGAACCCTGGAATGGCTTGGGTGGGAAGGGACCTCAAAGTCCATCTCATTCCATGGTGTCCCATGGGCAGGGAGACCATCCACTATCCCAGGGTGCCCCCAGCCCCACCCAACCTGGCCTTTGTGGTCCTTTCACCAGCTGAAAAAACAAAAGCAGTGACACAAGTGTATCCTACAAATTGTGGCTTTCATGTGGACAAAACCACTGAATATCTGTAGCAAGAATACCATCAATATTATGAAATTTCTTTTTTTTTTTGAGGAATCCTATAGGTGAGGCTGGCATCAGCATTAACTCTGGTCCAGCTACCAAAACAAAATAAAAATCAGAGACTGGGACAGCCTAAGGCAAGTCAACAGATGAATGATCACATCTTTCAAGGCATTTGTAGCTCCAGCTGTTAATTCATAATCAGCTGAACCCCTTCATCACCCAAGTAATCCTCACAGAACATCAACAGGGAGATTCCAGAAGCACTTATCTGCTTGCAACACAACAGCTCAAATATCTCCTGCAAAAATGAGGGCTTTTCACCTGGGAATCCAGGTTCAGCCAGGAATTCCACCTCACTGCCACCCCCTGCTAATACCCCAGCCGGCCCCCGAAGACCATGTGGGAGAGGACATGAATCACTGGTTTCTGAAGAAACAGCTTGGTTTTCCAGCAGTTGGGGGGCATAAACCAAATAATGCATTGCTTGTGAATATTGCTGATGACTCAGGTCCTTTTTACCAAGCATCTGTGCAAGTACAACTTGGGGAGGACACTCGTAAGCAACGTTAGACAAAACAGACTGTGGCAGCTCTGCTGAATAGGCAAAATTCACCCATCCAGGGTAAGATGGGATTTTTCCTCAAGAAAAAAAAAAATAATGAAAGCAGGTTAGCAGTTAATAGAAGAAAACTTATCATTCTCAAAAGCAGGAATGCAGAATAACAGCCTTGGAAAAGCTAAAGATTAGATTAAACCCAGAGTTTTGCTGTTTGGGAGGCTGCCAGGGTTGCCTTGTGCAGTCAAGGTAATTGCATCAGACAAAGAAGAGAAGGTTTGGCAGATTCCATAAGAAAGCTCCCTCAAAAGAGCTGCACTTCCAAGGGAAAGCCTTGCTGGGTGAGTTTAGGACAGTTTCTGGGCATTTCACCCTTACCAGTGTAAGGAATCATGAATTTTTCACCAATTCTATTCCTTACAAAAATAATACATTTTTTTTGTCCTATTGCCCATTTTCTCTCCTTGAAAGTCTTTGGAATAAAGGAAGATAAAGATTTGCTCTGAGTCTGGCTGGCTGTAAATAGAAAGACAATCTGGCTGATTTGGGGATGAGGAATAAGGTAAGAACAAGAAGTTCTTCCTCTGGCACAGATGTCAGGGTCTTGGCTTACACATGAAAGGAAGAAAACATCTGCTGTAGGAAACCTTCCAAAATAAATTCCTTTGCCTCTTTTCTCACACAGCCAGCTACTGTTCAGTAATATCTATACACACACATATATACACATATATATATAGATAAAAACTCAAAAAAATCACAGCAAAAGAATCAACAATTTGCAAACTTCAAAACTGGAGCTGATATTTTTCTATTAGACACACATTGCATTTAAGCACTTTTTCCTGGAGAAATCAAATGATTCCTGTTAATGTAGGAATCCTACTCAGGAATAAAAAAAGCTTCAGACCCTGGTCAGAACTTGTGTTTTATAACACACTTGGCACCTAAACCAGTTAAGAAATAAGCTCTGGTTCTGATGTCAGAAGAAAGCAGCACTAAAACAGCCAGCCAAAGACTTTCCATCCATTCTCACTTTGATGAATTGCTTGTTTATATCCCAGTTAATAAAAGAACATTCTGGCTTAATAAAAGATCATTCTGGCTTAATAAAAGAACATCCATTATAGGGGCAGATGTAAAATTCTAATGCTCAGTAATTTCTCAGCCCATACTTGCCTTACCTGATAAAGCACATCTTGTGGTATGGCTGTCTTATTCCAAGGACTCTCACTGAATTAATGAGTGTAGGGTCTGCAAACTTACTCCTCTCTAAATTGTGAGCAATTTTTCCCAGAAGTTAATAACTAAATAATAAACTGCATGGTCACAGCAGCTAATGAATCCAAGGTCGAGCCAGTAACTGAGAGCATGGCTTCAGTGTTTGTTCTGGCTCCAGACCCAGGGTGCCATTCAGCAAATTGAGTTTTTAAAATTACAGCATCTATTTTCATAAGGAACAAACCTACAGCCTGCACTGGACACCAACCACTGCACTTCCAGCTCTTCCCTCTCTCTCCCATGGCTCAACATGGAGCGGATGCTTTTCCAAAGAAGACACGCTTAACTCATTTCTCCGCTCAGCCTGGGGCTGGGAAACATTTTCCCAAATTTTCCATGAATGCCACTCACCTCTCCATCCTGGAAGTGCTTCTTGAGCTGTTTGAGCATGACAGTGAGCTTCTTGGACTGCACCCCGCTGTAAGCCAGCAGCATGCTCCCAAACTGCCGCTCCGTGATCCGCCCGTCCACCGGGTCGTGCCGCTCGAACTGCGAGGGAAGGGAACAGGGAGATGAAAACCAGGAGCAGCACAGAGCTCCACCTGAGGTGTGAAGCATGAAAAAGGCACCATAAGGAATTAACATTGCAGGAAACACTGGTGAAGGAGAAGTGCTGATGGGTTCCAGGATCTGCTTTCCCCAGGATTGTCTCTCCACACTGGCCCTATGTGCAATTCCTTGGACAGCTCTTGGGAGAAGCCTCTGTTGGAGTCCTGGATGCTGAGAATTTTAGACTTTCTGTACCAACAGACTCTAACACTGCATTTCACAGAATTCACAGAATCACTGGGTTGGAAGAGACCTCCAAGATCATTCAGTGCTGTCAGCAGAAAGAGACCAACCCCAGCTGAGCACAGGCACCTTTCAGGTGAGTTTTCACGTGACCTGAGGGTGTAGGGAAAGCTCCCAAAATTGATTGATACCACTAAGATTATGAGTGTTTAGTTTAATTAGAAGTGTGTAATATCACAGAGTAGATAACTTAGAGTTTAAAATTTAAAATTTAACAATATATAGAGACAAAAGAAAAGTTTTAAGACAGTAGCTAGTTGTTCTTCTTCACCTTCTTCTTCATAAGTTTAAGTAATATTTTAAAATTAAACAAAAAAGTCAGCATTGTGGAATTCAAGTAATTAAAATATAAATAATTTAAGAGTAATTTCTTAATTAAATAGTCTAACCTTAAAAAACCTTATATAAAAAATAGTTAAACATTTTATAACTTATTAATAAAATACTGTAAAACTCAATTTATAATATAAATAAAAATAATAAACATCTAAATCTAAAGCCATCTCAAGCACTCAATCCCAACCTTAACAAAAGTAAAAAAAAAAACAAACCCACCAAAAACCGACATTTAATGGTGCCCCAGTGTGAGGACACCTGTTGAGGTCAGGACCTCCCTGAAGAAATAGAGAACGTGCAGCTGTGAGCTGGAAAGAAAAAATCCCCAGGGAAAAGCAAAAAAGAAAAAAGGAAGAAAAAAGGAACTCAGAAATCCCTCCCAGTTTTATCTCACAGGACTGGGCTAATGAGTGGCTGCTCTAAACAGGGACAGTGGTTAATAAACCCAAGAGAAGTCTTGCAAAGGTCTTCTAATTTCACTCTTCTCTGCTCCAAGGCCAGTATCCCAGCAAGGGAAGGTTCATGGATGTCTCCAAATTTCACCTTCCCCAAGTTCTCCTCATCCTCAGACCCTTCCAGATCCTGACTCTTACAAATGCTGCTGTGAGGCACCTGCAGAACTTCCAAAAAGCCCTTGGGCAGAGAAGGTTTTCTCCACTCATGTCTCCTGCAGTAGTTTGTCTCCTGGCTTCCACTGCAGGGGAGGAGGGAAGAGCCATTCCCCAGCTTGGGAAGGGGCTGGGTGGGAGCACCAGCTCTTTGCCCACTGAATAATGGAGATTTCATCCTTTCCTTTCCCCCTGCTCTGTGAATCCACAAGCATCAACATTAGACTTCATCCAGCTTCACAGATCTCAGCACTTGGGATCCCTTATTTGGGATAGATTATATCCCTCCAAATTTACCAGGAAACACAAGACCAACACTCCAGCTGATCACAAGCCAGAAGATGACATTTAACAACAAAATTAATTTTTAAACTCATGGGGAACAACTTGGTACCAGTGACTGACATTCTGCTGCCTGCTGAGTTGACCATTCCAGCCTCAGCTGCTCTTCAGTGCTAATGAATTTTAATTGTTACCCTATCAACCAGATCTTGGCTGCTTTTCCCAGTGGGAAACCAAGGGATTCCTGATAAGTGGAGCACCAAGGCTGGAGGGATTTGTATGGGTGACTCTGGCAGGAGGCAGATCCCAAATGGAGAAATTCTGCTCCTCAGCCCCCTTGTGCTCTCACCACAGCTTTGGGGGGAAAATGGTGATTTTTACTGTCATATGATACAGGCTTTGGGGATCACTCATGATGCAAAATGTGGGCCTCTCACAATCTCCTGTGCTGGGGAAAGGAGCAGGAAAACTCATTTGCTGGAAATGTTCTTCATTAAAAAGCAGAAGTAGTAGTTTCTGCCATGCCTGAAGAATGCAAAGAAAATGCCCCTGGGACACAAAAACTTGCCATCAGTGCAGCTTCAAAAGCAGCACTGATGCTTTCTTCTGCTGTAGTATTCCTAATTTCATCCCCAAAGACACAAATCAGCATTTTTCTACCAACAGCCTTAAAATACCCCGAGTTTTAGCAGAGCTTTAGGTAGCATCTTTAATTAAAGGCTAGGAAATGGGTCCAAATATCTCAGATCAACCTCCTAAGTGGTGACTATGCTTAGAAAATCTCAAGCTGGTGTCTAAAAGCCCATCAGCTCCCTCTCCCCCTGCCCTGCATTCAGGATCAAGCATTGGGCAGCTCCATGGGGTAATGCAAGCAAGCACAGCTCCCTGCAGATGGGGAAATAAAGAACCAGTTAATTGCAGGTTTTTTGGAATTAAACTTTCAGATTGTGGTCAGTTTTGCACTACCAGATGCAAAAAAGACCAGGAAGGAAAAATTTAAATACTTTTCATCTTCATTTTTCTACTGATACGTGACACAACTATTCACAAGAAATAAAAAAAAATGCCTGGAAACGATGGAATTTATGCTGCTTATTATTTATCTCACTTTAAAAATGAACATTTCTAACATTAAACCAGAACACTCAGATGCCCACTGTCACATACAGTGGTGCTCAATGGAAAGGTCAGCCCAGAAAGGGCAGGGAAGTGAGAGCTGATCCACATCCATTTCCCAAATTCCAACAGAACCACCAGTGAACTGAGCAAAAGCAACAGCATCACAGTGAGGGATAAAGAAAGTTCAAATCTTGCCTCCAAGCTGCTGTCAGATGCATTTAAATTAATTACAGAAGGGATAATCAGGCCATGCCATTTAAAGAGAAATTTCAGGGAGAAAATTCTGTTTATTTTTTTTCTGGTATGTCAGAGATTGTGTTGATCCATAAAGAAACTGGGCTCCAAAGGATTTGTGAGTGGAAACTCACTGATTCCTGATGAAAGAAAACCCTCAGCTACCCCTGGCACCCCCTTTTCTGGGAGCAGAGGTACATCCATGCTCCTCTACCCTCTGGAATGCTTTCTAGCCAAACACAACTCACCACCTGGAAATGAAGGAGGGTGCAAAGCCTACAGGAATATTTCTTTCAGTACTCATACACAGCCTACAAACAGTGCTAACTGTTAAAATCCTCTGGGTACTTGAAAAAAGCAGGAAAAATAGTGCCCATTCCCAGGTAACCACAATTATCTGCCTCCATGCACATGATGATACTGTACAGGTTATTTTTCTGTTCACTGGGGAGGAAATAACCCCCCACCCTGCAAGGAGGGGATGCAGGGCACAGCACACAGGGGTTTATCACAGATAACAAGTCCTCTGACAGCCTTTTGCCCTTTCATGGATCTTAAAGAAGGAAAAGCAGGGCCAAAGCAGTGCTCACCTGGCATTATCCAGAGGGGGATGGAGCAGCTCCTGCTCCCACCAGGACAAACAGAGGACAGGGGGGTCTTTCCCCATCCCAAAATCACACCCACAATCAGCCAGCGAGTCCAACACCTCCGGAGCAGCTTCCACCGGCAGCCACTTGGTGCCAGCAGTGGATTCTGCATCTGCACCAGGCAAGGAGAAGGGGACAGAATGCTGGCCAGTGTTCTTCCTGCAGGCCAGGACACCTGAGGTGCTGAAGAAATAAGCCTTAAATATAAAAAGGCTGCGTTTTGAAATTCATTCAGAACCAACGTGATGTGAAAGGAAATCCGAGGTGTTTATGGAACAGCTCAGCTGGAACTGTAAGGACAGGACAGGAGGGAATGGCTTCAAACTAAAAGAGGAGAGGTTTATGGGATATTGGGAAGGAATTGTTCCCTGGCAGGGTGGGCAGGCCCTGGCACAGGGTGCCCAGAGCAGCTGTGGCTGCCCCTGGATCCCTGGCAGTGCCCAAGGCCAGGCTGGACAGGGCTTGGAGCTGGAGCCACCTGGGATGGTGGAAGGTGTCTCTGCCCACGACAGAGGGGTGGAATGAGATGAACTTTAAGATCCCTTCCAACCCAGGCCATTCTGGAATCCTATGGGAGGGGAAAAAAGCAGCAGAAATGGGGTGCAGCCTTTGACTTCACCAGCTTTGCTGGCCCAGTCCCAGTAGCAGTCCAAATACACAGCAGGGTATTCCCTGACTTTTTTTTTTTTTGTTATTTAAAAGATTACCTATAACATGTTAAATAGTCCCAAACTCTCCCCCAAGGCTGACAGGATGAGCACATTCCTGCTCCTCCATAAGATGAAATTCCCAGATTTGTTCAAATAACCCCACTCTCCTTCCTTCTGAGAGAAAAGCTTTCTCACATGAGGAGAGCAGAGGACAAATAAGCAATTTCGCCTGCTTCTACATCTCCTTAATTGCACAACTTTATGGAAAGGCAATACAAGAACCACCATAAAACAACAGACCCATAATATCTATTCTTCCTTCCTTCATTGTTTTTTCCTCCACTAACTCAATCCATCTTCCCCTGCAGGAAATCAAATCCCAGACTGAGGAGCATCCAGCCCAAAGCAATTCAGAGACACCACCACGAGAAACATCCTGGTGGAAAAATAAAACCTGCTGGAAGTTCCTAAATGCAGACATTGGTTTCCTTCCATCTCTCCTTCTGGCAGCAAGGCTCACCAGTGGGAAATGAAGCAGCTCCCGTGGCCTCAGAAAAAGGCCATGTTTGGGTACCACACACTTCTCAGAGGAAGGTTTTCTCTTCCCAGCTGATCCTTCCTCCTCAATAAATCTGTCATCATCAATAGTGTTAATAGGGGAAGATTCTACCTACAACTCCAGTGCTAAAATCTGTGGGAAATGCATTTGTAGAGAATTTTCAAAGTTTGACAGAAAGTTTACATAGTATGTATTCTTTGAGATAAGAAATGTTGACTTAGAAATGTCATGGAATAGGCCAGACATTGTTGAGAGAGAAATG